TGTGTGTGTGTGTGTGTGTGTTATATCCATATATTTATACTTTATTGCACCCCAACATTTGTAAATTTATCTTCTATTTCATAATGGGTACATATTTGATTAAGTATGGTTGCAAGGTTCTTCTTCTCATATCACCTCCGTATGAGATCATGATGTTTTCACTGCCCAGGTCTGTGATGATCACTAAACTCATCTTATAAATTAAGTGGCAAAAGAATCTCTAAGTTGTAAGTTGCTGCCTTCTGCTGCTTCTGTATGATAACTTAACTATATATATATTTTTTTTTCCTTTTTCAGGCAGAATATTTCACTATTAAACCCAATAATTTAATTTTCTTTTTTTCCTAATACCCATCCTTACTTAAACTCATTCATTACCCTCATATTCTTCACAACTTTTCTAATCCATACAGTCTGAGAGAAGCATGTTACATAAGTGACTTGCCACATAAATGAATAGAATGGGCTTTCTTTATATCAGAGATCATCCAAATACCCCACTTAATTCTAAACTTTATTGCAAGTAAAGATCATCTCTCTTACTTACTTAAAGCAGAACTTTCTCCAGATGATGATTGTGAGTAGAGAGCTTCATCCAAATTTAGAGATGGTTTTAAATAATGTAGTAAAACAAAGCAAAACAAAAAACTATAAAAAATGAACTATGAGAACTTTATGCAACTGAAAAAGAAATGGAGACTCAACAGAGATTTCAGAAGCTAGTGTTAATTTGTTACTGGAAGGCACAGTAATTAAATTTAATGGAATTAATTTCTTCCACAGTTTATACTGAGATGAAAAACCCACACAGTAACTCACAGTCTTGTGCATCCACAACATGAAAACTCTAGTCAGCTTTTTGAAGATCTGGCCTAACTGTGTGCCCCTGTGTCATCTGTATCTTATGCCTGCAGAAACATACACAGAGGCTTATAGTATGGATTTATGAACTTACTATGACTGAACTATAGACTAGAGAGGATCTTTAGCAACTGATGATGGTTTGAGCACAAAGAGAGATATTCAACAAGTTATTAGAAGCTATTATTTAATGTTGTAAAGGGAGTCCTGGTGGTATAGTGGTTAAAGTACCCGGCTTCTAATTGAAAAGTCATCCGCCAGCTGCTTTGTGGGAATAAAGATTCCAGATTTTGAAACCCAATGGGAAATTTTAATCTCTCCTACAGTCACTGTGAGTCAGAATTGACTCTATGGCATTGGGTATTTTTGTATTGTAACTTGTCAGAAGCCAATATCGTTAAAACAAGCAAAAAAAAAAAAAAAAGTAATCACACTAAAACATTTTTCATTGCTAGACCAAATCATACAAATTCTCCAGTCTTCTGGAAATTTGTGATAACTTCTTTCTATGATTTTATGTTTACAGAGAAATATTTGGAAATTAGTGCAACAATAATTATGGAAAACTACTAAAGTAGGAGGAAAGCAGCAGACTTAAAAACTGTCGAGTTCATCAGGATGCACTGCATTGCATTTCCCTGGAGCAGCAGATAGTGCCCAAAGCGAGAGGAAGCAAGGGTTTAAGTAGTTTTCTGCGAAGGCCGTGGTACAGCAAAGTGGTAGTGGAAAGAGCAGGTCTTTTTTTCTGTGATTCCCAGGAGATGTCAATTAAACAGGAAGCCTAAGCACTAATGAGAAGCTTAGTCACATTGCAGAGGTCAAACAGGAAGGGGAGCCATAAATCACATCCACCACAATTTTACTGAGAATTTCATCAGAAATTTCCCCCAGCAGCTCTTCCCCAGAGGAAAAAAAAAGTAGAAATAGTTGTCAAAAGTTAGAAAATATTAAAAACAATTTAATTTCTGTTATGTTTTAGTTTTTTGTAAAGTAATAATTATTATTTATCTAAGTGTAAAGGCACACTATATGCTGCATTAACGGGAGCTCTGGTAGCATAGTGCCTAAGGCATTTGACTGCTAACCAGAAGGCTGGTGGTTCAAACCCACCAGCCACTCCTCGGAAGGAAGGCTGGGCCATCTACTTCCATCGTGATACTGTCTTGAAATACTAAGGAGGGGTCGCTATGAGTCGAGTCAGACTACATGGCACATAACAACATCTCCCATTATTTGAAATGCTATGTGAGTGCCTTATTTATGCAATATATGCCTTGCAGAGTGTTCACATTTTCTTATTTGTTTCCTTTTCCCCTATTTTATTTTGTTCATACCTTTTTTAGTATAAAAGATTTCTTTTTAAGTTTCAAGTAAAATACATTCATATGTTTCTGTGCTTTCTTCCACTGATTTTGTGTTTATAAAAGCTTTTAGTATCTTAAAACATGAGCAAGTTATTACTATTATTATCTTTTATTCAAGGTTTAGTTCCCCCCCACACACTCAAATCTTAAACAATCTAGATTGTATTTCTGTGTTATTATAAAGCTGTGATCTACATTGAAAATTTAAGCAATTATCTTAGCACCATTATTGACAAATTATTTCATACCAATGACTTTCTATATACTTTTTGAAACACATGTTAAATTTTTATATCTATGTGCTGTCATTATCTACTGTGAGTTGTCTCTGGGTGGTGTATATAACTAACATGCTCACTGCTAACTGAAAAGTTTGGAGCTCTGGTGGCGTAGTGGATAAGGCATTTGGCTGCTAACCAGAAGGTCTGTTGTTCGAACCTACCAGGAAAGATGCGGGGGTGATCTACTTCCATAAAGGTGTACAACCTCAGAAACCCAATTGGGGTTGTTATGAGTCTGAATTGACTTGATGGCAGAGAGTTTGTTTCTTTGGTTAAGCAGCTACTTAAATCATCACCAAAAAGAGGCTTGGTGATAATTTACATCTGAAAAATCAA